CACATCTGGCTTTGTTCTAGGTATACTTTATTTTTCCTTCTCTAGCTCTGTCTTGCCTTCTCTCTTTCTCTTAACATATTCTACACACACACACACACACACACACACACACACACACACACACACACACACACCCCTACCTCACAGTAGCTGCCTAAAGCTACAAGAGCCACTTTGCATTCACTTTCAGATACAGAGTTTTCACCCTCCAGCCTCGAGCTTCTGGAACAATAAAAGAGGTTCAGCAAAGAACAGAGTGTGGATATGGCTTGGTATTAGGTGGGACCACTCTGGAAGAGAGCTCTGCAGGTGCTACTAGCTATCAGCTGTTGTGTCAGTCCCACAAAGAACACAAGGGGGATGCAAGGAAGGATGTGGGTGGGGTGGAGAGAGGTGTTGGTGTGTATGGTACTGCTGTCCATCCATCCCTCCTAAACAGGAACAGCAGCTACACGGTTTATTTTTCAACCCCTTTGAGGGACAGTCAGCAGCAACATCTGGGGAAAGGGCAGGGATACAAATGGAAAAGAATTCTAACTGCTCATCCTTTTTTCTCTGAAATGGCTTACAAATATATCAGGTGTTTACTAATACTAACTTACTGGTTTTTTGTTTGTTTGTTTGTTTTTTCTGGTGACCAAGCCAAATTTTGTTGGCGAATTTTGTTCTTTGACCCATTGAACACTGGCATTTGACTAGCTGGAAGCTTCTCCTCCCTGGACTTCTATGACACCACATCCTTCTGTTTCTGTTTGTTGCACTCAGTTTTCTTTGAAGCCTATTCCTCCTCTTCTTATCCTCTAAATAGTGTTGTTCCCATGGTTCTGACTGTGGTCCCATTCTGCTCTCACTGGCCTCAGTCCTCCTGGGTGGTAGCACCCAAACCCGAGGCTTGAAATGCCATTGGATTTTTAATTCTGTCTATTGTATTTCTGATCTCATTCTGAGCTCCAGATTTGTAGTTCCAGCTGCTGACTTGATGGTTGGATGCCAGAATCTCCACCTGATCAAAACTGAATTCACTATATTCTTGCTAACGCATATCGACCCCCTGTATTCTCCATTTCATTGAATGGCAGCACCATTTAGTTACCCAAATAAGAGGGCTGTATTTTCCTTGTGTTCACATTCCAGCAGGCTCCCATGTACTTTCTTTTTGTTTGTTTGTTTGTTTTTGAGTTGGAGTCTCACTCTGTCATCCAGGTGCACACTCATGGCCACCCAGTTTCGACCTGCTGGGCTCCAGGAATCCTTCCACCTCAGTCTTCCAAGTAGCCAGAACTACAGGCATGCACTACCACACCTGGCTAATTATTTTATTTTTATTGTAGAGACGAGGTCTCGCCAAGTTGCCTGGGCTGGTCTCGAACCCACAGGCTCAGGCACTTCACTCACCTGGGACTCCCAAAGTGCTGGGATCACAGGCTGAGCCACAGAGCCTGGCCCTCCCATGTACTTTCTATTCTACATTCAAAATTCCTCTGGAATTTGCTTTTTTGCAAATCTCTTACAGCAACTGCCTTAGTTGAGGTTTATCTCATCTCCCCCCGAGGAGCCTGCAAACTTGTTGCTTTGCCTCAGGTTTCCTAGACTCTAATGAGCCCTCACATTGCTGTCACAGCAGTCATTCTAAAATGAATCTTTGATCACAGTGCATCCACCACTTTTGGACTAGGGAAAATTGGCGCTTCCTTTTTCTCTAAACCACCATATTGCATGGAGACATCAAGTGACTATGAAGGTTGGCCTCTACAGATCAGAATGACACACAAAATAACAAAGAAGCCTGTTTTCCTGGGAGTCTAGAAATTTCACAGGCTTCGGCTCACTCCTAGTTTCCACTCCACGCCCATCCGAAAGCCTCATTCAACCTAGAGAGAGTACAGTATGTGTATGTGAGGGGAGGGAGGGGGAACCAGTAGCGATAAGCCTGCTCTGTCAGGATGCCCGTTAGAAACCTGGTAACACGCCACAGGGGCAGCCCCAGAATCTGGAGTGCATAGCTGTGACAGGGAATCTGTGCCGGTGGCTTAGATACCACGAGTGCCATTTCTGGATTTACCTCCTTCTAACTTATCAAGGGTGGAAGGCCTAGACCCAAATTCGGCAGGCCTAGACTCTCCAATCGGTTTAATTAATACCTTGGGTTTTTTTTTTTCCAGATCAGGTATTCATACAGCAAAGCTTTACTCACACTGACCTGTAGCATTTCTGTGAACTATATACCTAATGTATATTTGTGCAGTCAGCCCTTGAACACCCACAAATGCATTATTTGCTTTTGACTTTTACTCTAAATAATGTCTGCAGTCCTAGTAATAAGATTTGAAGTATGTACACTCAAAAGCTCTTTACCCACCAAGACAAAACTATAAATTGGCAAACTGCTGCTTCTGGGTTAAACCTGGCCTACCACTTTTTTGTTTATTTGTTTGTTGTCTTATTTTTTTGTTGAGTGGGAGTCTTACTCTGCTGCCCAGGCTGGAGTACAGTGGCACGATCACTGCCACCACAGCCTTGACCTGCTGGGCTCAGGCAATACTTCTGCCTCAGCGTTCTAGGTAGCTGGGACTACAGGTGCACACAACCATGCCCGGCTAATTTATTCTTATTTTAATTGTAGAGATGATGTCTCGCCATGTTGTCTAGGCTGGTCTACACAACTCCTGGGCTCAGGTAATCCATTCTCCTCAGCCTCCCAAAATGCTGGGATTGTAGGCATGAGCAACTACGCCCAGCCACTTGTTTTTTGATTTAAGCCACACATAGTGGCTCATGTCAGTACCCCAGCACTTGGGAGGCCAAGGTGGGAGCATCCCTTGAGCCTAGGAATTCAAGACCAGTCTGGGCAATATAGCAAGACTTCATCTCTACAAAAAAACAAGCAAAAATTATCCAGGCGTGGTGGCATGCACCTGTAGTTCCAGCTACTCAGGAGGCTGAAGATGGAGGATTGCTTGAGTCCAAGAGTTTGAGATTGTAGTGAGCTGTGATCATGCCACTGTCCTCCAATCTAGGTGAGACAGCAAGACCCCATCTCAAAAAAATTTTTTTCTTTGTTGGAATACAGCCACGTCCCTCCTTTATGTCTTGCTTATAGTTGCCTTTGTGCTATAACAGTAAAACTGAGTTGTTGTAATGAAGATTGTATGGCCACAAAGCTTTTAGGCTTTCTTACAAACTCCTGTCCCAGAACATCACATTTATCCATAGTCGGGTGTAAATAATGTTCCAAGTAAAACACGATTCAGGCTACTGTTACTGATTTATCTCTGTTTCACTCCTCACTTTTAGTCGGAATAACCTAAAATTGGTTAAATAAAGATATAGCAATAAAGTAAAAGCCTACAGCAATAAGCTGTCTTTACTATATGATTCAAACCTCATGTTAATAAATTTTTTAGGATATCTAAAGGATGACTGAGAGTGATAAGTTTGGAGTATCTAATAAAATCCTGGCAAAATTTGGTGTACATTTGAACTAATTTTCCCAGGAAATATCATTGAAGAAAATAATTACTGAATCCACCTTAGGACTGAAAAATCTGAGTATGTCATACACTAGAAGGAACTACTAGACTACCTATAATATCTTCCCAACTATAAATAAAGACCAGAGGAAGACACAGGGCACACTATATATTGTATAATATATTCTTATGTACCACTGAATATCAAACTCAGTGTATTGTTTCTTACTATGCAGTACCAAAACGAATCCTCAGCAGTGAGGCTGTGGTTGAGGGAGAGGCCTGGTATTTATTTATCTGAAGAATCAGCCATACAAGTTAGACCAGTGTTTCAAGTATCTGAGTTCTGTCATAACCCATCATGGGCTTAAGATGCATATATTTACATAAACCCAATTTTTTATATTTTCAGATGATTTCTCCTCTTGGAGAAAGAAAATTCTATGTTTACTATCAGTAAAGTATTTGCCCCCAAAAGTGACCTCTTTTCAGGCATTGTCCTCAGGAGTTTGTCACTTGCCTTCTTTACCAGACTTGGTTCTGAATGAACTAGTAGTTCTTACAAAGCACATTCACCCACAAAAGAAAATGATTTGATAACTTAGGACCATAGGGTAGGGTGCCCTAAATAAAAAGTACCAAAACTTGAAGGGCAGTTTCAAAGAAGGACACATTTTAGTGCTTTCAGTAACAATGTTGTTACAATAACTTTTTTTCAAGATGACTATTTGATGGATAGCAGTTATTAGGATTATACATTTTAGAATATTTAAAAAATGAAATTAATAGCATCATCATTACACCTTGCACTGTGACTTTAATATGTTGTAATAGTACATTTTACTTGAGTTTCTAAAAATATATTCTACATTTTGGGTTTTTTTTAGTTGGAGTCTCACTCTGTCTCCAAGGCTGGAGTGCAGTGGCACACTCACAGCCACCCCAGTATCAACCTGCTGGGCTTCGGCTATCTTTCTGCCTCAGCCTTCCGAGTAGCTGGAACTACAGGCATGTGCTATCACGCCCGGTTAATTTTTTATTTATTATAGAGACAAGTTCTCACCAAGTTGCCCGGGCTGGTCTTGAACCCCCGGGCTCAGGCATACGTTTTTATTACATAAAAATACTATCAAAGTCAATATGATAATCCTAAAATGTAGCTGGATGAATTACAATCGTACACCACATAGTGACATTATAGTCATTGACGCACTGCATATATGGTGGTGGTCCCGATTACAACACTGTATTTTCTATGTTAAGTATGTCTAGATTCACACATACTTACCATTGTGTTGCAATTGGCTGCAATATTCAATACAATGACATGCCATACAGGTTTGTAGCCTAAGAGCAATAGGCCCTACCACATAACTGAGGTGTGTAGTAGGCTTCACCATCTAGGTTTGCATAAGCACACCCTATGATGTTCACACAACGACAAAATTACACAACGATGCATTTCTCAGAACGTATCCCCATTGTATTTTCTTTTTAGATTCTATACAGTAGAAACTCCCCAGAACAATGTCACTTACGTGCTTTCCAGTTGAAGGTCTGATTCACTGTTAAACCTCCATACTTGATAAGACACATGAAGCTGTGGTTGTTTGTCACATCGAAATCCAGTTCACTGCTAACAGTGTAGAGTTCAGTTTCGAGATCTTGGGAAACTTTTGTTTTGTTGTTTTGACTTAATTCTTCTCCATTTTCTAGCCAGGAGAGGTGGGGCTCTGGAAAACCTTCAGAGGCTGAGCAAATTATCCTTCTAGTGTCAGAAGATGGAGATCCCCAGTCAGTTATGGAAGGTGTAGGGAAGTTAGCTGAAGAAAGAGCAAGGGCATAATTACCTATCTGTGTGTGTGGGGGGGTTATAGTTTTACTAAATTGTCTAGCTTTCATAAGAATGATAAAACAAGATATAATTTTCAACTTTCCATAAATCATTAATAGTTACGCATAATCCAAAGACTACCCTGGATTTGAATTGGTTATATCAATTCTTTACCATTTTCAAGATAGGAGGAGAGCACTTATTAGAGAAAGCAGGAAAAGTTCATGTGAATAAATGTTGCCACAGTACTTGTGATTATAAGAGATGATGAGAAAAATAATAGACAACGTTTATGGAGCTCTTGTTTGTTAGGTCTCAAATTACTTTATCCTCGCTTTACAACAACCCTAGGAGGTAGACTGAAATCAAAAAGTTCAAAGATCATTACTCGCATATGATTGAACCTAATACTATAATTTCCATTTTATAAACAATCACCTGAAGTTTAGAGAAATCATCACCAGAAGTGGCAGAATTCAAGTCGTTCTGACACCAGCACCTATTCTTTCTTCTTTTCCTTTCCTTCCCTTCTTTTTCCTTCCTTTCCTTTCCTCCTGACACTTGAGATGCATAAGCAACTCTCTTCTATTTTATGTATTTGTGTGTTTATATTTTTTATTTTTTGGGTTGAAATCTCACTCTGTCGCCCAGGCTGGAGTGCAGTGGCACGCTCCCGGCCACCGCAGCCTCGACCTGCTGGGCTCAGGTGATCCTTCCACCTCAGCCTTCCAAGTAGCTGGAACTATAGGCATGGCCACCACGCCCTGCTAATTTTTTGACTTACTGTAGAGAGGAGGTCTCACCGTGTTGCTCAGCCTGGTGTCAAACCCCTGGACTCAAGCAATCCTCTCAACTCGGCCTCCCAAAGTGCTGGGATTGTAGGCGTGAGCTACCACACCCATGTACTTGCATATCAAACCATAATGAACACCTATGAACCCACAATCCAACTTGAGACCCAGAATACTGATATTAACTTGAGTCAATCTAGATGTAGGGCCCCACCCGTCCTGTCCCTCTGCTTCCCTGTACCTGAGATAATCAATACCCTAAATTTGTGTTTAGCATTTCTTGCTTTTAAAAAAGTGTCTTTTACTCAGACAAACTTGTGTCCAAACTGTACAATATTGAGCCGATACCCTCATCCGCTACACTTTGCTGATTCCTTTGCAGTTTGATATGCTTTAAAAGGACAGAGAGGCCTTCCTTGCATTCCGCCAAGATACTTGAGGCATTCTTTCATTTCATTTGAGGTACTTCAATAAGATCCTGAAGTGCATACAAGGCAAAGAATAGAGAAATGACTGCAGAGAACGTAGGAGAAAACTCCCTTAACCTCTTCCCAATTATTCTTACACTTATAGAGTTTAACTTCTCAGTATGAATGTGAGGATTCAATTCCCCATAGTTAGCTTTTTTTTTTTCTTTTTTCTTTTTAGAATTCTGAGTCACACAGAGATGTCATATAGTATAGTGTCATCAAGAGCAGGTTTGGCCTTGTGACCCTGGGCCAATGACTTAACCACTTTTAGTCTTAGTTTGTTCATCTATAAGATGAGGATAATACCTGCCTTTCAGGGTTGAGAGAATGAAATGGCATCATTCATATGCTATTTAGCACAGAACCTGACACAGGAGGTTTAGTGACAGTTAGATTTAAGTGACTGCTAAATTAGTCCCCTCATTTGAATCAGGTTGTCAGGTAAAAGCTTCCAGGAATGTCTCTTGGCACCAAGAATAATGAGGAAAAGGGGAAGTCATGACAAGTGGTTATAATGGCCAGGAGAGGGAAACATTTGGATTTGGTTGGAGGTGAAGTCATTTTTTAAAAATTGTTTTTAATAAACTCTGCCCTCAAATGAAGTTTGACATGTTCCTGAGCCATTTTTAGTCGATATTATTATTTCCTTCTCACTAATTTATCCTGCGAGACCAAATCATTACACTGGCAATTGACATCAAGAACAAGCCCTTTATTTCTTATAACATCGATATGTAACCTGGAATAAGAAATCCAAATAAGTCATATCCTAAATTATGATTCATAATCATTTCTGCACTTTGCTTTCTGAGAAACAAACTACAGGAATGTCACTCATACCAGGGATTGTATTAAGAAATCATCTTCTCAAGTTCTAACTGAGCTTAGAACAACCTCAGTTCTGGCTCTTATCTTTTCTATAAGATTATCTGTTTTGAGTAACCCACTATAAAGGGTTGTAAGACTGTATCCTTTGTATCTCATTTTAATCAACTTACTCAAGTTTTTGCCACTCAGTAGGGAAGAGTAAAAATATCTCATGAGGAAAAGAAGAGCTACACATGTTTTAGAAAGTAAAAATCCAATAACCTAGTTATAATCTGTTAACCAATATAGCCAGTTCTCATATGTGCTGGTTAATGGAGGTTTTCTTATATTGATATGTTATATCACATTATTTTCCAATCTTATACAAGTGTAGGGTATCTAACTTGTCCTATTTGCCTGAGACTTTTCCAGGTTTAGCACTGAAAATCTGTGTCCTGAGGAAACCCCTCAGTTCTGGACAAAAGAGCATAGTTGGTCACTCTAACCAGGAGAGAGCTGGTTTAATTCCTTGCTTCTCAAACTGCTAGAAGTACAGGATCTCAGATTCAAACTCCAGACCCAATGAATTTAAATGGGAATTTTAACAAGACCCTCAAGTGATTAATATGCCCATTAATATTTGAGAAGCAACTGTTTTAATGGACTCAACTGGAAAATTCAGAATGGTTCTAGGTAAAATTAAGCAAGTGATTCTTCCCCTGCCAGATTTTTGTGTCCCTTCTCCCGTCTGAGGACCCCAGCAATCTCATGTCGCCCCTTACCTGTGCTTGGTTTCCCACAGTCATCTGCTTCTCTAGAGCTCCTCCTCCCTGAAATGTTTCCTCTTCTCCTTCTTGGACTTTCTTCTTTATCCTTCTATCAAAATTCTCCTGAGCTGAGCCCACTTCTCTCTATGTATTCCATTAGAGGAATGACTATGCACCTAATGTAATTAGCTGAGACAGGCTAACATATGCTTTTGGTGCCACCTCCCCTGGGTAACACATTTTCATTTTTAACAAGGATCGTGTAGGGAGAAAATGCTGAAACTAACAGGAACGGCTATCATAATGGGAATTTCAGAAGTCAATACAGGTGAAAAATTTGGAAGAGTTAAGCTTCTTAGGTCCCCTCAGATTATGTCACCATATAATCATTTGCTCTATCCATGGGCAGAGAAAACATAGAATGAGGTTTAAGGTATTTCTATGCAAAGATTCCAAGCTAATGACCAAAGCAGGGAAGAACAGTGAGGAATTCACTAAGAATCTGCTGAAGTTATCTATTATCAGGGTTAATCATTATGTTTTATGAAGTAAGAAGTTTGGTTTTCACTAAAAGCTCAAGCTCTCAGGAAGAAAAAGAATTGTGTTTGAATTTTAAGCATGAGAGAATGGCCCAGGGCTGCAATTTCTCAGCAAGGGCTTAGGTTCTACCAATATTCTCTAATGCTATCATCTGTGATTAAAGTAAGGTTCCTTTCTATCCAAGGTGAGAAATGTTTGCTCTTCACAGTAGGTATATGCACAGGATTTGTGGATTAATTTTCTTCCAAATTAGGTATCCAATTCTCTAACATCTCACTTTGCAGGAGTGACTGTAAGATGAGAGCTTCAAATACGCAAGAAGTAAATTTTCATTTTGAAAACATTAGCATGTAATTGTAAAATAGTTATAGTAATAGACATTCACATACTACTTGAAAAAGTATTTATGCTTGCATTGCTTTTACTTTTGCAACACATTTTCACAGTCATCTATTGTTGGATCAAGTAGTTAACAGTACAGCTACAAAGATGTCCCCCTGGTGACTCAGAGGTTCTTTAGATCATTACAGTGTCCCAGGATGATTGTCATGAACTTAGATTGCCCAAGTTCAAGAAATGCATATTAAGGCTGGGCATGGTGGCTCACACCCATAATCCCAGCACTTTGGGAGGCTGAGGCAGAAGGATTGCTTGAGGCCAGGAGTTCAAGACCAGCCTGGGCAACACAGTGGGACCTCGTCTCCACAAAAAAAAAAAAAAAAGAAAAGAAAGAGCTGGGTGTGGGGTGTGGTGGCATGCACATTTAATAGATATTTCCAGGACATCTCAATAAATCAATTAGGGTTTATTATAAAACTAGAGACAACCCTGAGAAACGAAGTGAGATATATTCCTTTTTGGTAAAAATTTCACCTAAATCAGTTAAGCGTGTATCTTTTTTTTTTGAGTTGGGGTCTCACTCTGTTGCCCAGGCTGGAGTGCAGTGGCACACTCACGGCCACCTCAGCATCAACCTGCTGGGCTCCAGCAATCTTTCCACCTCAGCATTCCAAGAAGCCGGAACTACAGGTGTACACTACCACACCTGGCTAATTTTTATTTATTGTAGAGATGAGGTCTCTACTAGCCTGGCTGGTCTTGAACCCACAGGCTCAGGCAATTCACTTGCCTCGGCCTCCCAAAGTGCTGGGATAACAGACTGAGCCACCGATGCTGGTCTTAGGCATGTATCTTTAAGGGCATTAGGAATCTGCTAGCCTAGAGTAAATCAGGATATCTCACCAACCTTTGACCCATAACATCACTGAAGTCATGTGTTGCAGTTTGAAAGCCCCCTTTTCAGGCTTCTGAACGACACAGGTGTACTTGCCCTGGTCGGACAGGCGCAGAGCCAGGATCACGATGGAGAGGTTATTAGAGATGTCAAGGATGGTCTGGTTCTTGTACTTGGGCCACATTTTCACATCCCCAGATTCAATACTCAGCACCGGTTCATATTCTTCTTGCACCTTTTCGTTCTTTTTTTGCCAGTAGACACGAGCTCTTGCCAGCTCTTCAACAGAAATGTTGTAACCACAGGACAATGCTGCCATTTCTTTCACTCTCTTGGTCACCTGGCTAATACCTAAGGAGAAGTAAACAGAACAAGATTTCATTTTTATTAAATATGGATTCCTGCATGAGCAAGAATCCAGAGTTGGCAGTAACAGAACACAGGGTGTTGTATCTAGTGTCTAAGTGTGATCAGAAAATTCAGTTTGTTTCTTGAGGTTCCCAGGGCTTTCTTTCTCCTTCATTTTTAAATTGTGATTAAAAAAAAAAATAGGCCAGGCTCATTGGCTCAGCCTTTAATCCCAGTACTTTAGAAAGCCAAGGCGAGTGGGTTACCTGAGCCCGCAGGTTCGACCAACCTGGGAAACTTGGTGAGACCTCGTCTCTACAATAAATCAAAAATTAGCCGGGCGTGGTAGTGCATGCCTGTAGTTCCAGCTACATGGAAGGTTGAGGCAGAAGGATCGGTGGAGCCCAACAAGTTGATGCTGGGGTGGCCGTGAGCGTGCCCCTGCACTCCAGCCTGGGCGACAAAGTGAGACTCCAACTCAAAAATAAATAAATAAATACATAAAAATAAATAAATAAAATTTACCATCTTATTAATTTTTAAGTGTTTAGTTCAGTAGTGTTCTGTATATTTTGAAACAGATCTTCAAAACTTTTTATCTTGCAGATCTGAAACTCGATGCCCAGTAAACAGTGTAACTCTCATTTCACCCTCCCTCCACCTCTGCCATTCTACTGTGTGTTTCTATGAATTTGATTTCTGTACTTTGGATTCCTCATATAAGTGGAATCATATACTATCTGCCTTTTGTGATTGGCTTATATCACTTAGCACAAGGCACTCAAAGTTCATCCATATTGTAGCAAAGGGCAAGATATTCTTCCTTTTTAAGAAATGGTAATGATAATGAATAATATTCCATTGTGTGTGCATATACTTGTACAAATATATGCGTGTGAAATATATCTATACCACATTTTGTCTATTCATCTGTCAGTGGACATTTGACTTGCTTCCACCTCTTGGCTACTGTGAAGAATGCTACTGCTATGAATATGGATGTGACAATATCTCTTCAAGAGATATTTTAAATATTTTTGGATCTATACCCAAAGTGGAATTTTGGGGTCATATGATAGTTCTATTTTTAATTTTTTTTAGGAACCTCTATACTATTTTCTATAGCAGTTGCACCTCCAGTGCTTTGATTTGATTTGATTTGATTTGACTTTATTTTTGAGTTGGAGTCTCACTCCATTGCCTGGACAGGAGTGTAATGGCATGATCGCTGCTCATCACAGCCTCAACCTTCTAGGCTCAGGTGATCCTCAGCCTCAGCCTCCCAAGTAACTGGAACTACAGGCACATACCACTATACCTGGCTAATTCTTTTTATTTTTTATTTTGTGTAGAGATGGTCTTGCTATGTTGCCCAGGCTGGTCTCAAACTTTTGGGCTCAAGCAGTCCTCCTGCCCTGGCCTCCCAAAGTGCTGGAATTATAAGCATGAGCCATTGCACCCGGGCTCCAATGATTTTTTAAAAGTTTTTGGAAGTCACTGTTTAGAAAAATGAAATATGATTGCATGAAAAGTGCATTTGATTTCTAAAACAATTAAGACACATCACTTAAGTGAGACTCCTGGACCAATCATTCTGACATAATCCATCTTTCTTTTTCTTGAGGATTTTCCAGTGACATGCAGGATTTTGGATCAGTATGAGCGTTTTCTCAGACAAGGCGATTTTTAGTCATTTTACTTCTTATTTGCTTTACATGACATAATGCCCCTTCCAAGAGAAGTTAGCCCTGACCAAGATACTGGGGAGAGTTGTGGTGGAGTGCAAGGTGTTACTGTCCACCTCTATCTAGATGCCCTATGTTGAACCAATCTTTGTGCTGTCTCTCACTGTCTTCTTGTTTGCTTCTTCTGTGGTTGCTCTATGGAGGGGAAAAAGCCCTGTTTCATTTAATCCCTACAATAGCCTGTGAGATGTATTATTAACTTCATTTTACAGATGAGGCAATTGAGATGTTGAGAGGTTCAGGAAGCCTAGGACAGGGTACGTAGGCCTAAGATTCCAAGTGCCTAAGATTTGGCAGTCATGAGGAAGAATAAGGAAGGAAGATGGGGTAAACTGAGAAGAAAGAAGGAGGCCAGGTTTTCTTTTTTTTTTGAGTTGGAGTCTCACTCAGTCGCCCAGACTGGAGTGCGGTGGCCACTCCCGGCCACCGCAGCCTCGACCTGCTGAGCCCTGGCGATCCTTCCGCCTCAGCCTTTCAATTAGCTGGAATTACAGGCATGCGCTACCATGCCCGGCTGATTTTTTTATTTATTGTAGAGATGAGGTCTCGCTGCCCAGGCGGGTCTCGAACCAGCGGGCTCAGGCAATCCACTCACCTCAGCCTCCCAAAGGCGCGGGATTACAGGCTGAGCCATCGAGCCCGGCGAGGCCAGCTTTTCAATAGATAGATAATACAATCAATCCTCATGACTCACGGGTTCCCACTTACAGATGGCCTTCTTCCTGGCTCCGTTCCCTGGTTACTTGCTTAGGAAGGGTTCGGCTACTACTGCCCTGAGAACCAAGGACGATTTTCACTATGAAGACTTGGCCCCGGCAGGGCACAGTGCTCACACCTATAAACCCAGCACTTTGGGAGACCGAGGTGAGGGAGCCCATGGGTTCAAGACCAGTCTGGGAAACTTGGCAAGACCTCATATCTACAATAAGTTTAAAAAATTAGCCAGGCGTAGTGGCGTGTGCCTATAGTTCCAGCTACTTGGAAGGCTGAAGGGGAAGGATCACCTGAGCCTAGCAGGTCAAGGCTGGGGTGGCCGTGAGTATGCCACTGCACTCCAGCCTGGGCAAAAGAGTGAGACACCAACTCAAAAAAAAACAAATGACTTGGTCCCTGAAGCTCAACACCTTTGCTCCTTCATTTCTTCTACACCCCGTCTCCCTGCAATTGTGCATGGTGCAGTCACACACACATGCACGCACACACACACACACACACACACACACACACACACACTTGCCCATATACACACATTCAAGAGGCAGAACTGTTTTTGACAATGGGGGGAGTCTAAGGACAGATTTTATGCAGATTAGGTGGGCTAAAGTCAGTCTCATGTGACTTCGCTGGCAGGGCACAGGAATAAAGCTTTCATCTGCCACCTTAATACACACCCTGATATCTCCTCTTTTCAGTTGAGTGATTAAGGATTTGAAGCCCTCAGAACTGGATAAGAGCTTAAAAGCAATCATGAGTAAGTGCCCTCTGCTAACATTCCTGCCTAAAGAGCTCTTGGTGTGTTAGTGTGGAATGAACATGGGCTTTTTAGCGTTCAATAAACTCAGCTATCTTTGAAACTTTAGGCATTTAGTTAACCTCTCTGAACCCCAATCTTCATTGGCTATTATGAGGATTAAATGACATAACTTATGGCAAACATATACTGTAATTCAGTGCTTTGGCACTCACCAAATATGAATTCTATACTCCTTTCATTAAGGGAGGGGACATTTACTAACTTTTTAAGGCAGTTAATTTCATCTTTGGACAGTTTGACCTGGGAGGTTTTGCTTTGCTTTGTGTTGAAGTGAGTCTCTCTCCAGCTTCTATGTGCCTTACAAAACACATCTCCTTCTGTAACAAGATCTGTAGACATGTGAAGACAGTTAAGTCCCTTCTCAGATAGCTCTGCAGGGCCTCTCAACCTCAGTCCTTTACTGACAGACTAAAAGTGAGTATCCCCACTTTCTTCCCCACACAGTTTGGTTTGTGTATATATCCCTCTGAGAGAGCAAAGTCCACTACATTTTTTTCCTTTTAAAAAAAATGTTTTTTATTTTAAAGATGTGGGCTGGGCTGGGTGGCTCAGCCTGTAATCCCAGCACTTTGGGAGGTCGAGGTGAGTGGATTGCCTGAGCCTGCGCGTTTGAGACCAGCCTGGGCAACTAGGTGAGACCTCCCCTCATCTCTACAATAAAATAAAAAATAACCGGGCGTGGTAGCACGCGTCTGTAGTTCTGGCTACTTGGAAGGCTGAGGTGGAAGGATCACCAGAGCCCAGCACGTTGACGCTGGGGTGGCCGTGAGCGTGCGTGCCGTTGCACTCCAGCCTGGGCGAAGGAGTGAGACTCCAACTCAAAAATAAATAAATATATAAATAAATAAAGGTGTGGGGTGCAATTTAGGGTTAAGTATACAAATGTTCATTATGCAGGGACCCTTGCTGATGAGGTGTGCCCCCTTCCCCCCAACTACTGCCAATCCTGCCTCCACTTCCCAGCAATTTCCCACTGCTGACAATCCTTATCTTATAATAGTCCACTACATTTAGCATTCCAGGCCTCTGCTGTGTGATTGGCTCAGATCAGAGCTGTGTTATCACCTCCTTTGCTTAAGTTTTCTATGTGTACAGCCTAAAGTTGAATTCAATATATCAGCAGACACCTGATACCTTTGATATTCCTATTGAATATATATATGAGGGAAAACAAAAAAATGGAATTTATTTATTAAAATTGTGTATTTATTCTTACATGTTTAAACTTCAGTCACCTTCAAAGTATTCTCCATTTGACGCAATACACCTGTCAAGATGCTTTTTCCACTGCTCAAAACAGCTTTTGAACTCATCAATTTTGATGCCTTTTAGTGCTTCTGCCATTTTTTGTTTCACCTCTTCTACATCGCAAATTTTTTGAGGACTTTTTTTCATCCGGGAAACAAACAAACAAAAAAGTCAGGACAAGATTGCATGAATACAGAGGGTGGGGTACAGGGGCCATGCTGTTTTTGGTAAAAAATTGTAACTCAGATGATATGGGCAGGTGTACTAAAAAATTACCCATCATGAAATGGGCAAACGTGTTGAAAGAATCTCCAAAAAGTTTACTGAAGTTGAATGCAGCCTCTCACAACAATGCAAGCTGGTACACTGATGCTGATGGGTTTCTAGAGGACTTATCTAATGGAGGAAGCCTGTACTACAAGGGGTTCACCCTCCAAGAAATAATTCCGGCTATTTTCAGTGCCCTCTTGCGTGTGTGTGTGTGTGTGTGTGTGTGTGTGTGTGTGTGTGTGTGTGTACAGTATATACATACACATATACACAGTGCCAGTCTGAGCAGAAAATTTTAAACAGAAAATATCTTAGCAAATCCAGACTGTAGGACAACTGTATGCACGGATTGAAGATAGCCAAGAGAGATAAAGACAGGTTATAGATCTATTTATGATATCTGAAGAAATAGTCCAGAGGTGTAACTGTGGTCTTGTCTGGTGGGGATAAGGGGAGTCATTTCAGCCTGAAGCCACGGATCAGTCAGGCTTTGAAAGAAAAGAACTCTGTTTCTTAAAGCAAAAGAGCTCAGTGGAGGGGGCAGGATGAGGTGGGGGCAGTGTTGGCTTACTTATCCTGGAACTGGGGCCTACAACTGGAAAAACCAGTAAATGAGGAAAGCCTGGACCAGAAAGAAGAACACGTGTAGAGCTGGGGAAGTTTCTTTTCCTCTGATCGGTTTCCTCCTCTGTAACATAAGGCCACTGGAATGAATGATCATGGAAGTCCCTCGCAAGTCTCACCTTCCTCAACTTTCATATCCCCTTGGGCTAAGTACATTGTTTGACCCATAGTTGGTCCTGGTTTTCTCATGGGACCAGTGGACCATACCCCTCACTGAGGGTCCTTGTCTCTTCCCAATGCTGGGCCCATAGGTATATAGCTATATACATGAGAGAAGCAGATGTCTTTCCATATTTCTGAATGCTCAAGAAGTGTCATCATATGGAGATGAATATGGGAAGATTCTGGATAATTGTAGGTAACATTACTGGAAGAGATTCACCCATTTGGTGAGGTGTTGAATTGGATGTGAAAGCTCAGTAGTATATGTGAGTAGAAAAACAAGTCAATTTACTTGTTAATATAGTCAATATGAGAGACTCGGCATAGTGGCACATGCCTATAATCCCAGCACTTTGGGAAGTGGAAGCTGGAGGATTGGTTAATCCTAGTAGTTTGAGATCAGTTCAGGCAACATAGTGAGACCTCGTCTCTACAAAAAATAAAAAAATTAGCTGGGTGTGGTGGTACACACCTGTAGTCCCAGCTTCTTGGGAGACTGAGGCGGGAGGATTGCCAGAGCCCAGGAGGCTGAGGCTGTGGTGAACTGTGATCATGCCACTGCACTCCAGTCTGGGCAATAGGGTGAGTTGCCCACTCTAAAATATATACATATGTGTGCGTGCGTGCGTGCGTGTGTGTGTGTGTGTGTGTGTGTGTGTATGTGTTGTTATGTGTATAGCCAGGCACAGTGGCTCAAGCCTATAATCCCACACTTTGGGAGGCCAAGGCAAGAGGATAGCCTGAGTCCAGGGATTTGAGACCAGCTTGGGCAACTTGGTGAGACCTTGTCTCTACAATAAATCAAAATATTAGCCGGGTGTGGTGGCATGCGCCTGTAATTCCAGTTACTTGGAAGGCTGAGGCAAAAGGAATGCCCGAGCCCAGGAGGTAGAGGCTGCAGTGGCTGTGCGTGTGCCACTGCACTCCAGCCTGGGCAACAGAGTGAGACTCCTACTAAAAAAAAAAAAACCCAAAAACAAAAAAAAAAAAGAGAGAGAATATATATGTATGTATGTGTATATATATATGTATATAGATAGATATATATAGATATATATATTCATATATATACACACACATATATATATGTATGTATGTATGTGTATGTATGTAGAAGGAGCATGGACTATGCATTCCCCTTGACTTGGTTTTTAGTCTCAACTCAGTCACTTGCTGATTCATGTGTTTCCTCATCTGTAAAATGGATATGATACCTACCCCTCAGAATCATTGGAAATTCAATTCAGTTAAATGATATAAATAGAAAAGTTCCAGAACATAACACTTCTTTCTTTCTCTCTCTCCTTACACCCTCTTGTTTTTTTCATCTCACTCAGGGATTATGTCAGATACATAGGTCTCTGGTCTTGCTACAGGCCAGACAAACTGAAAGCCGCTCACTCAGCTGACACCCCAAATAATAGGGTCTTTCCCTATTGAACTGTTTGTTCCCACTCAAAAACAATCCAATGTTTCTAACAGATTTTGACATGTGATGACATTAGCAAAAAAGAAATCATAACTGAAAGAGAAGATATCTCATTCTCTTGGTCCCTGAGGAGCTCTTTCCAGCTATCTGCAGACAAGCGTGGGTGTTTCCCAAAAGGTCGCAGCACGTCATCAATGTGCAGACACTGCTGCTGAGGAAGAACCAGACTAAAAAGAGGAACCCCAAATTTTTGGGTAGTTTGAAAATTTCCACAAGGACCCTGGCCTCCATATTCAAGGACTCTAACCACACACAAACAAAACAGTTGAAGTGTCTCAGAAGGGATTTGTCAGCTTCAGTGACTGTAAGAGGAAAGTCAGGTCCCCCAAAACTCAGTGTTACTGTTTAAAACCTAGCTGATTTTTTTTTTTTTTTTTTTTTTGAGTTGGAGTCTCACTCTGTTGCCCAGACTGGAGTGCAGTGGCCGCTCCCGGCCACTGCAACCTCACCTGCTGGGCTCCGGCGATCCTTCCACCTCAGCCTTCCAAGTAGCCAGAATTATAGGTATGCGCTACCACGCCTGGCTGATTTTTTGATTTATTGTAGAGATGAGGTCTCACCTGCCCAGGCGGGTCTTGAACCCGCGGGCTCAGGCAATCCACTCACTTCAGCCTCCCAAAGGCGCGGGATTACAGGCTGAGCCACCAAGCCTTTTGAGTCCGGGTCTCACTCTGTCTCCCAGGCTGGAGTGTGGTGGCACAATCATGGCTACTGCAATCTCGACCTGCTGGGCTCAGGCAATCCTTCTGCCTCAGCCTTCCAAGTAGCTAAACTACAGGTGCGCACCCTACACCTGGTTAATTTTTTTGAGATTTATTGTAGACAAGGTCTTGTCAAGTTTCCCAGGATGGTCTCAAACTCCTGGGCTTCCATAGTCCTCTTGTCTCCACCTCCCAAGTGCTGGGGTTATAGGCATAAGTCACCTTGCCCAGTCTCTTTCCGAGCTTGCTTCCCCTTATTACAAACAGGCATTGGAACACCTACCCAATGCAGTGGGTGTGAGGATTCAAGTGAAATACTACACATGAAACTCAGTACTTGGGACTTTAGAGGGAATAGCATCTTCCCCAGACATTCACACGACTCTGGTCTCACTTTGCTCCTCTGTTCTCATGGCCCCTTGTTAGAGAGACCTTCTCTGACTCTGCCAGAACAACTCTATCCTCCCTGCCCCATCCACCTGCTACTTTTTAAATTAGACATGAGGGATACATCTGAGGATTTGTTGCACAGGTATATTACACGGTGGTGAGACTGGGGCTTCTGATGAGCTCTTCCCCCACCCAGTGGTGAGCATGGTACTTGATGAGTAGTTTTTCAACTCTTATTCCTCCTCCCTCCCACTTTTTAATAGTTCCCTGTGTCTATTGTTCCCATCCTTGTGTCCGAATGTGCCCAGTGCCTAGCTCCCACTTATGAGTGAGAACATGCAATATTCAGTTTTTTGTTGCTGTAATAATTATCTTAGAGTGATGGTCTCCAGCTGCATCCATGTTGCTGCAAATGACACAATCCCATTCTTTTCTTACAGCTGCATAGTATTCCATGGTGTGTATGTACCATGTTTTCTTTTGTTGTTGTTGTTCTTGATTTTAAATATGTGGGGTACAATTTAGGGCTAGGTATACAAATGTTCATTATGCAGGTATCCTTGTTGATGAGGTGTGTCCCCACCCCCAGCAGTTTCCCACTACTGCCAATCCCTTTCTTATAGTATTATGATAGTTGTTCACAGTTCGCTTAAGAGTGAGAATATGTAATATTTGGTTCTTTGTTTCTGTGACAGATCACTCAGTATTGTAGCCTCTAAGTCTGTCCAAGTTGCTGTGAAGTTCACGATTTTGTCCTACCACATTTTCTTTATCCAGTCCACTCTTGATGGGCACCTGGATTGGTTTCATGTTTTTTTTTTTTTTTTGAGTTGGAGTCTCGCTCTGTCACCCAGACTGGAGTGCAGTGGCTGCTCCCGGCCACCGCAGCCTCGACCTGCTGGGCTCCGGCGATCCTTCCACCTCAGCCTTCCAAGTAGCCAGAATTACAGGCATGTGCTAACACGCCCGGCTGATTTTTTGATTTATTGTAGAGATGAGATCTTGCTGCCCAGGCGGGTCTCGAACCCGCGGGCTCAGGCAATCCACTCAGCTCAGCCTCCCAAAGGCGTGGGATTACAGGCTGAGCCATCGAGCCCAGCTCGTGTTTTGCTATTGTGAATAGTACTGCAATAAACATGCAAGTGCAGATGTCTTTTTGGTACAACAATTTATGTTCCTTTGTATACACTCAATAACAGGATTGCTGGGTCAAATGGCATACCTATTTTTGGTTCCCTGAGAAATCTCCAAATTGCTTTCCACAGGGTTGAACTAGCCTCACATTTCCATCAACAGTATATGTGTTCCTTTTTCTCTGCAGTCTTGCAAATACCTGTTGTTTTTTTTACTTTTTAGTAACAGCCATCCTGACTGGTGTGAGATGGTACCTCACTGTAGTTTTGATTTGCATTTCTCTGATGATCAGTGATGTTGAGCACTTTTTCATATGTTTGTTGGCTGCTTGTATATCTTCCTTTGAGAAATGTCTATTCATGTCCTTTGGTCACTTTTTAATGGGGTCATTTGTTTTGTTTGAGTTGGAGTCTCACTCTGTCGCCCAGGCTGGAGTGCGGTGGCACACTCGGCCACCCCAGTGTCGACCTGCTGGACTTAGGTGATCCTTCCACCTCAGCCTTCCAAGTAGCTAGAACTACAGGCATGCGCTACCATGCCCGGCTAACTTTTTAATTGATTTATTGTAGAGATGAGGTCTCGCCAATTTGTCCAGGCTGTTCTCAAACCCGTGAGCTCAGGCAATCCCCTCTCCTCAACCTCCCAAAGTGCTGGGGTTACAGGCTTGAGCCACTGAGCCTGGCCCATTTTTTTTTTCCTGTTGATTCATTTGAGTTCCTTGATCCTGGATATTAGGCCTTTGTCAGATGCATAGTTTATGAATATTTTCTCTCATTCTATGGGTTGTCTCTTTACTCTATTGATGGTTTCTTGTGATTGATAAGGTCCCACATGTCACTTTTAGTTTTTATTGCCTTTGCTGTTGAGGACTTGGTCATGAATTCACTGCCTAGGCTGCTGTCCAGGAGAGTGTTTCCTAGGTTTTCTTCTAAGATTTTCACAGTTGAGGGTCTTACATTTGTCTTTGATCCATTTTCAGTTGATTTTTGTATATGGTGAGAGGAAAGGGGTCCAGCTTCATTCTTCTGCATATGGTTAGCCAGTTTACCCAGGATCATTTGTTGAATAGAGTGTCTTTTCCCCAGTGTTCGTTTTTGTTGGCTTTGTCAAAGATGAGTTGGTTGTAGGTTCATGGTTTTATTTGGGGGTTTCCTATTCTGTTCCATTGGTCTATGTGTCTATTTTTGTACTAGTACCATGATGTTTTGATTACTATAACCTTGTAGTAAAGTTTGAAATCTGGCAGTGTGATGCTCCTGGCTTTGTTCTTTTTGCTTAGGATTACTTTGGCT